ACAGCCAAACAAACAGCTATAGTTGTAGGCTACCTGTTTTTTTACCTTCTTGGATTTATGTACATTGCAGCTCTTTATGTACATCTATAGCTACACATATTTCTGTTACTGATGCTCCACAGCATACCATTGTCTATACCACGTTGTCTATTTCTGACTAACTAGCTGAGTTGTGGGGATAAACTTGTGGTTAACTAGTGCTTACTCTGTAACTGCTGGAACAAGTGACATTTCCCCCCTGCTATCCATTCAGAGGCAAAGCTATTAGGACTGACAAAGAGAAGCTCATTCTTGCTCATTATATTCAGAGCCCTTACAGATGAGGCAATTTTTCACTTCTCAGCTGTGATAAAAACTGAGGACAAATACAGCATTATACTCTATTCAGCTATATCTAAAAATGTTCTGAATTTATTTATCCCTGAAGAAAATCTGTCTGCAAGCCAGAACTCTTCCCCCCACGTCTACCTTTCCTATCTGCACTTATATTTAGCATCATCACTCAGGGCCAAATCTTTGAGACCTTATTTGACTTTTATCCAATCTCACTTCCTACATTAGTCACCATATGAGATTTGTCTCACTAAGAACTAAATTAAAACTTCAAGCAAAGGATGTGCACTAGAACTTCCTGATGAACAAAAATTACATGGCAAACAAGATTATAACGATAGATTGCAAAGGTGTATGACTGTAAGCTATGATATTTCTGCTCTTAGGCTTCCAAAGCATCAGGGAATATAGGGGATAGATATATCGGGTGCAATTGGAGGTGGAGAAATTATGTAGGCACGATGAGTGGAAGGCTGGTCTGCAAATAAACGACTGCGATTAACACTTGGTCACATGGAGCTTTTGTTGCTGGGACTGCCATGGAAAGAGTAGAATCATCTGTCACACAAGCCAATGCAATGTGTTAATGAAGGCTGACTTACCCTCTTTACTGTTTCACAATGCTTTAACTACCATCTACTTTTGGGAGGCATTCCTTATGGAGGCCTCTGCCACAGCACTGTGATGAAAGATCTTGCCACAGATGATTGCTGCAGTGACAGAAACAGACATCACTGAAGGCAGGAGCACTAAAGAATGAAATTATCTAATAAAACAGCTTGCAAACTTAGGAGATGAATCTCTGAAAATTTAGTCTGCACTACAGACTAAAGTTTCACCAGCCTCCTGCCTGTTCCTGCCTGCTTGTACTGAAGTCTGGGAGAAATAACTATCATTAGATTTTGCTCATGCAGGGGCAGCTTGGTCACACTACCTGCCCACCTTTATTGTTTATATTATTCAAAATAGAAATGAAATATTTTACCCTAAATTCCTCAATTTAGCTACTGCATTTTTGTTTACAACTGTTTTTGTTAAGGAGCAGCCATTTGGCCCGTTACTGCAGTTCAGCTCAGGGGAGCTCACTTCCTAGGACATATTTGCCTGCTTCTGTCTTTAAAGACTGTTTCTGTGGTCCATCAGACTCAGATATCTTAAGAGCCCTGATGCCAATGAGAAGAACACAGTCATACTACCCCAGACTCTATCTTACCCTTAAAATTCAACTTAATCCTCTCCCGGATACACTCATTGGGTTAATGTATTCTTTTATTTTCTAAAGGCAACCTTACAAGTAGCCAAAGATACCTCTTGTTTGACCTCTCCTCAGCAGCACTCTAACGAAATAGATTTTTGCAGATGGAGTTTTGAAGGTAGAGTACTTAAAGATGGGAATCTGCAGCACAAGCATAGAAGATATAAAACCAGCAACACTTTGAAAGAAAAGTGCTGACAGAGACTCCAAAATAACAAAGTAGATTCAAGGGTGACTGAGGCTCTATACAGCACTACTGTATAACATGGGAACGATAGACAACAAGAATAAACAGTGAGAACTGTAGATGGTACAAATTAGCTTTGCTGTGGTGAGTTCAGGAGCACTGTGCTGATTTACACCAACAGGAACTAAGGACTGCAACTAGGAAGGAATGTGTAACAGCTCTGTGATTTTCCTTTCTCTGTAGAATGATGTCTCCATTACAAAATCATAGAGATTGCAAAGAACCTCTGGATATCAGCAAGTCCAACCCCATGCTAAAGAAGGTTCCCTACAGTCGGTTGCACGGAAAATGCTTAGTAGGGATTTCAGTCTCCGAAGAGACTTCACAACATCTCTGTGCAGCCTGTTCCAGTGGTCTACCACCCTCACAAGTAAGGTTTTTTTTTTCAGGTATGTATGGAACTTTATATATTCCAGTTTGTTCCCACTGCCCCTTGTTCTGTCACTGGGCACTGCTGAAAAGAGTTTGGCCCCATCCACTTGACTTGTGCCCTTTAGATATTTATGATTATTGGTATGATCCCCTCTCATCCTTCTCTTCTCCAGGCTGAACAGCCCAAAGTTGCTCAGCCTTTCCTCATTAAAGGAGATGCTCCAGGCCCTCACCATCCGTGTGGCCTCCACTGGACTCTCTCTCTAGAAGTTCCCTGTCTTCCTTGAACTGAGGAGCCCAGAACTGGATATGCTGTGCCAGATGTGGCGTTGAGGCAGAGTAGAAGGGGAAGAGAACCTCCCTCAACCTGCTGGCCATTCTTTTTAATGCATCTCAGGATGCCACTGTCCTTCTTGGTCACATGGGCACACTTCTGCCTCATGGCCAACCTGTTGTCTGCCAGGACACCCAGGTCATTCTTGATAGAGTTCTTTTCCAGCAGATCAAGCCGTAACCTATACTGAGGCATGCAGTTATTTCTCCCTAGGTGTATGAATCTACACTTGCTCTTGTTGAACCTCATCAGATTGCTTTTTGCCCAACTCTCCAGCCTGTCCATGTCTCACTGAATGGCAGCACAGCCTTCTGGTGTGTCAACCACTCCTCCCAGCTTTGTACCATCAACAAATTTGCTGACAATGCATTCTATCCCCTCATCCAAATCACTGATGAAGATGTTGAACAAAACTAGATTCAGTACTGTTCCCTGGGGAACACTGCTAGCTACAGGCTTCCAACTAGGCACTGCGTCACTGATCACAACACTGTATTCTGTCAGTCAGCTAATTCTCAATCCACCTCATTGTCCACTTCATCTAGACCATACTTACCTACAAAGATATTATGAGAGACAGTATTAAATGCCTCATTCATCCACTCATTCATTGAATCCAATCATTCATTATTCATCCCTAGGCAGAGGTTAATATGTTACAGTTCTCTCACATAAAGAGCAACTCCACCACCTTGCCTTGCTAACTTGTCTTTCCTGAAAAGTACATAGCCATTCATTTCAGTCACATGAGCTGTCCCACTATGCCTCTGTCATTGCAATGAGATCATGGCCCTACGACCACACACAGATCTCTACTGGTTCCTATTTATTCCCTTTCTGTGTGTGCTGGTATACAAGTAATTCATGTGGTAATTCAACGGAGAAAAGGGAGCAGAAGATGTAGGTTTCCTTGGAGGGATGCAAGAGGATCCTGCATAGCTATACACATCCTTGGGGTGGCTACTCTTCTGCTTGTCATGGGAGGCTGCTAAGGAGCAATTGTCACTCTTCTGCTTGGCCTGGCTTACTTTCCTGACTTTCCTCCAGTTTGTCAGTGACTGCTCCATGATGAGAACACAAAGAAGTTGTCAGGTCTATTAATCTTAACAAATGTAAATACAAACTCAAAATGTGGAAAAATGCTCTCATCTGAAATGAATTTCATTCTATCAGACTGCTGAGTTAAACAGTCACTTATGCAGCAGAAACAGAAACAGCAACCACTGGGAAATAAAATTGTTCATCTCATTCTTTTCAGGTTGTCCTTCCTGTCTATTTCTTGGTTTGGTTGGCACCTCACATAGGCAGTTGCATTGAGTTTTCCTCCACAGTGTGATTTGTCACAAATAGTTTACTTTCTTTTCCACTCCAGACTGTTCACAATTTTTCAATATACATAGGTTGATCCGAAAGTAATGCCTCCTATTTATTTCCATGGAAAATACAGCAGATACAAAGAGCGCAACAACACTATTTGATAGAGAAAATTCTCAGCTACAAAATGCTGTTTTTAAATATAGTTGCTGCTAATAGCTATGCATTTTTGCCAGTAATGAGCAAGAGCCTGCATGCGACACTCATAAAAGTCTGCACTGCCATCCAGAATGTGGGTTGTCTTTCATGTCAGTGTCACTACTGTTGCACCACTCAAAGCCTCACTGTGCTCACATCTACTGTTTGGTCTCCATAAACATTCAGGAAACATCAATGAATGTTAATGGATGTCATTTCTTCTGCATTCAGCGACACACCTTTGCTTCATCCACACTTCATGTAAGATGTCATTTTGTCTGACTGCACCATTGCTGCCATCTGTTGCACAGCAATGAAATGTAATGGAAGAATGTTGGTGGAAAGTTTCAACCTCTACTGCCATACCTCCAACATCTGCCTCTGACATTGCGGGCCAACATAATAAAATAGGAGGCATTACTTTCAGAGCAGCCCTTATATCTCCAAACAAATCTTACCCACTGCTTTGTTCTCAAAGCATGTAGGAGTAACCCTTAAGCTCAGTTCTTGTAGTATCTGACTGGCGCCAGGAGCCACATCCCCTTTTTTTGTCTTCCTGAAGAAACAGCATGTTCCCTGTCCTCTGTCCCAAGTGAAAGAAGAGCCCTTTTGCTTGTTTCAGGTAATCTTCAGATATGGGGAACTGCATGGTATTAAACTAAGATCAATACTGAGAGTTTGGAGTGTGTCTTAATTTGAAACGACGTCCATACATTTTACCTTGCCTATGAACATATCCACAATAAAAACTAGAGATTAGAAAGAGGCTTTCCCCACATTTCCTTTAGGGCCATGGCTGGATGGATACAGAATGTCCTGAGGGATGAACCATGCTATGGTTGGGACGCCAGGAGCTGTGGAAAGTGGCCTGTTTCTCCTTGTGATAATGCTATTCCTAAGGAGTAACCAGAATGAATCATTACCTTGTAAGGAGTGGGACTAAACTGGACCAGAGAATTCACTTGATAGATTTGCATTTGCTGCCAGCATGCACACACATTGCAAGAAACTTGGATACAAACCCACTGAGATCAGTCCATACTTTGGACTGAGCAGGACTTGCAAAGTAGTTCCACAGCCCTTCTGCAGCATAAGGAAGACAGAATTCAGTGTTCAGCTACTGCTGTCAGATTTGATTGACTGAAATTAAAAGCTGGATGCTGCAATATTTAAGAAGTTACAGGTTGGGCTGTGCTTGGTATTCACAAGGCTGTGTTACATGCTGAATGGGGCTCAGGCAAGTGAGCTGCAGAAGTTGAAGGTGTCACTTCCCAGACTGCGCAACTTGCTCCTCTGCCTACATCTCTGAGTAAGCCCACAAAACGGGATTTTGAGAGCAATAGGAGAGTTGTCTTTATACACAAGAATATTCATAAATCATTTCTCTGCTATATTGGCACAACCTTGCTCAACAAGACGAGAAAAAGCAGGACTTATACTTAACAGGATAACTTTAAATGTATAAAAGATACATGCACGTTAGTTTCCTCTAGTTCCATTTGCATTTGGATGTAAAAAGCTATTTGTTTTTACTGTTCTTCTCTTCCATTAAAAAGCCATTTAAACTTCTACGGAGATTTGCTTTCATTTTTCAGCTCTCTTCTGTTTGTTGGTTTCCAAGTCAGAGGTAAAATGGATAGCCTTTCATTTTACTTAGCACAAAATGAATTACAAGAAAGTAGAACCTCTAGGAATAAAAAGCCTTCAGACTGTATGTTCATGTAAGTGTAAAATGTACTGCAAGCCAGAGTGCTTCTCCAATTTTGCTACATATTTGTAATAATAAAAGAATGGACTCCAAGGAGAAGTGAGCCATGAGCTGTGTGATTTGAACTGTTACATTAACATACAATAAAAAGGCACAGAGGTTCAACGCAGTTAAATAGGAAAAAAATGCAGAATGCAGAAATGCATTAAAGGGCAGTAAGTGAAAGATTGGATGGCATACTTGATAAATGCACATTTAGACTTCCATTTGAAAACCAATAGAAGCACACAGTTGCAACGATAGCAGGGAAAGGAAGACTGGGGTAAATGAGCAGACAAAGAAATGAAGGAAGAATTGAACACATCGTAACACACAATTATTGGTTGGATAAAATACGGTGTAGGGATGAATGGGAACTGGTACAAGATGATAATTTACAACACAGAGTCGCACAGAATATTCTGTTGGTATTTGGTAGGAGGGAAAACTAATGCCTGAGTCATTCAAAAAGCACTGACAGTCTGTAATACCCACATCTGTCACACTGCACTCTGCTGCAATCACATTCTCCTTGTTGGGATGGAGAAGATTATGTACATCCCCAGGGAAGGATGTACTCATATGAATCCACAGACAACATTCAAAGAGCAGTCCACTAAGAACTTGCCTAATTCAAGATGCAATAGAACATAACATCGCCACTGAACCACATCCCATGAATAACAATGCTAAAAACGGAGAGGCAGACTCATTTCTGAGTAGGCCTTCAATAACCACCTTAAAGCTAGAGAGCTGTAAACTGGGAGAAAATGCCTGACAAATGCTAATTTCTTCTTCCTGAGATGGCCCCAGCTAACCAAGTCTTAAGGGGATTGACTGTGAGGCTTTCTTTGGGAGTTTATTCAGAACTCGGTCATATTTTGAACACAACTCAAACTGATAAGATAGGATTTTGAGGCCTCTGCCTGCCTAGGCTTACCAGAAAGAGAATAAGTTTCAAGAAAATGAGCTGGTCAAAGATTTGAGCCTTTAACATTTCACAGAGGCAAAGAGTTCCCAACTCCAATCTTAGGGAATTAGGGGCTTTTGCTTTTTTTTTTTTTTTTTTAATGTTTCACAAAACTGTCACCCTATCTTCCCTTTGTATGATAGCCTGCACAGATAGCTCACAGGGCATGCTTGGAGAAAGAATAGGATAAAATGCTTTAGAAGGAAGTCCTGCTTACTGAATATCTAGAAGGGGGAAAAAAAATCTCTAACTTCTATTTTAAAAGTATCTCACAAAAAGTGCCCATCTACTAAGGGACACAAAATAAATTTTCAAGACTGAAACACGGTGAATTTTCAGACACAGAATTCAAATTCTGAGATATTTGATTGAATATTTCCTGTTAATCACTTTTCTTTGGGGGCAAACTGTATTGAAAACAAGTTACAGTACTTTCAATTTAAACTCAGTGCTAAACAATTATATTCTACGCTGACTATACTGACTATACAGCTCAGATGTTGGAAAAAAAAGGCATAGAGAATCAATAGGATTTTATATAACTACAAATCTGTACAGCTTGGAGTAGCCTGTGCTCTTCCACTGATTGCTTCACAGTAATGGTAATGCCAAGGAAATGAGAAAGATCTGAGCCCTTGCAAGATAATAATGATGATGACTCCTGTTTAGCAAAAAAAAAAAAAAAAAAAGAGAGAGAGAAGGATTAAGACCACAAGATTTTATCAGTATAAGCAAAATGACAAATTAGAAAGATTCTATTAAAAAGACTAAAATTAGAAACAAATATTACTTTTGGATTAATGCTCTTGCACAGATTTTGGAGCTTTGTGATTCAGTTACTGAAGTCTTGCTCCCTCTCTTCTATTTATCTTGTAGTGCCATTCTGGAGTACTAGGTCCAGATGTGGAAACCTTGATACAAGAAAGACATGGACCTGTTGGAGGGCATCTAGTGGAGGGCCACAAAAATGATCCGAGGGATAGAATGCTTCCACTATGAGGACAGGCTGAGAGAGCTGGAGCTGTTCAGCCTGGAGAAGAGAAGGCTCGGAGAAGACCTGAGAGCTGCCTTTCAGTATCCAAAGGAGGGTATAAGTAAGGAGACAGACTCTTTAGCAGGATCTGTTGTGGTGGGTCAAAAGGAAATGGAGTCAAACTAAAAGAGGGAAGGCTTAGATTGGACATAAGGAAGGAGTTCTTTACAACATGAGGCACTGGCATTTGTTGCTCAGAGGTGTGGTGGATGCCCTGTACCTGGAGACATTCAAAGTGAATCTGGATGGGGCTCTGAGCAATCTGGTCTAGCTTTAGGTGTCCCTGTTCCCTGCTAGATAATCTTAAAGCGTCCTTTCCAATTCAAACAATTCTATGATTCTATATTTCCTTGGCAAAAAAAAAATAAAATCATAGAGCTGCATCTATGTGGTGGTCGTGTTTTTCATTTTCAAGGAGACAACCAGACATTGCATTCCACTCTTGCTGCCTACCTGTGAGGGCTGAAAACCTCCCCATGTCAGAATCTCTGCCAAAATCCCTTTCCAAACCAGACAGGGGAGCTGTGGATGTGGGCAGGGCTGCACATCAGGAATTTCCCCCTAAATGAAAATGTTATTACCAGCTCTGCAAGGTATGGTTATTTCATGAGTTGAACCCCTATGCTGAGGTACATGTCTTTCCCTGTGGTACATTAACAAGCTCTTTCCTATACAGCAGGTGAAAATATAGCAAGCCTGTCAGAGAATTACACCTAAAAACCTTGTGTACACCTGCTTTCCCAGACAATTCACAACTAGGCACCTGTTACATACGCCTTCTGTGCTCTAGTTGTACAAATGACACTGAGGCATTTTACATCACAGTTTATAATCTTTGTCTCATATCCCCAGCCTCCCATTTAGAAGGGGTTCCTTGTCATTAGATAGTACTCCAGCTGCCTTCATGCAGCAGCTCTGTGGATTTATTCTGTTTTATGCATGTTGCATCAGAATAATTACACAGGCTAGTAGAGGATTTTGTGTGTAAAGCATCATAGAGAAACTCATACATCCTTCTAGCACCCTCTAATTATGGTCTATTGGTCCATGAGGTATTTTATTTACATTCCATAGCCAATTTGTTTCATGTATAGCTGTACAGGATCTTTAGTCCTCTCAGGCTTCAGTTTATGCTGTTGCCCTTACTGTTCCTCTTCCCTCTTATTTTGCACAATAAAGCTATTGCATATCTCTATTTTGTGTCTTACCCTTAAGAAGTGCAGCAGGATCTTCAGTTCATCAGTTACTGCCCTTCAAACTGTCCTTTGAGTAACTTGCAACTGGCAAAACAAAATCTTCAGAGAACATGCCCATTCTGGAAAACATTGAAAGATGGAGAATCCATCACTTCTCCTGATAGCTTGTTTCAATCACTCATACCAGAACAATGTGTGCCTTCATTTTAGTTTGAATTTCCTGCTCTTAAGCTTCATGGTTCTTTCCCTGCCCTTGCTTGCTTGATTAGATAGATGACTCACTCCCAGTATTTTCTGCCCTGGGTGTGAGTACACTATAACTAAGGAGCTTCTTTGTCAAGGATTCCTTATCTAGTAACAAGTGTATGCTCAAACTTTATACAGTGCTACCAAAGAAGCTGCTTTTTGGAGTGAAACAAGTTAGACCATCTCTAACCATTTTCATGTGTACAGTTGAGCATCTTTGTAGCAAACAAAATCAGTAGGTTATTCCCTAGCTAACCATCCCTCTGTTTATTAGAGCTTCACTGACCTCTCACTGTGTGCTGCTATCTGGAACAATGTGTTGGTACTGAATTTCTCTATGAGTTTAAATTGAAACATGTCTATACTTGATAATGTAAATGTATTCTTAATTCCAGACACTATCAAACACGTCCAAACCACTGCTAACCATGCTGGTGCATGACCCTTTTTTATAGAATCTTAAATAGACAGTTACATCCTACAGTATTTACGCTGAGTGACACGTTCACTGTGATGGTTTACTCAAAAAATGATGTTCTATAAATTGTAATATTTCACATTAGCCATATAAAGTATTTTGACAGTGGCCAATGAGAATAATCACGCTCTCCCTGGAACCACATCCACGATCCTTTTAGATTTCCCTTTAAGGCCATCAGATAGATACAGCTTCTGAGCAATACTCTTCTACTTGTCAAAGCTCAGTGGGGAAGCATCCTGCAAGGCCAGGCCAATCCTGGAAATGCTGGTTGCATACTCCATCACTACAGATCTAGGGACACCAGTCTATATCTACTGAAACTTCTCTCTAAAATCAACCCTCAGCCTGAGCTGCAGTCAGGTCTGGCTCCAAAGACTGACCTTCCTCCAGGGAAGGATTTTGGAGATTTATTTTAGCCACCTTCATTTCATCAATCCTTTTTGTGGAGCAAATCACTACCCACAGGGGCATCTGGAAGATGGAGAGAGGAGAAAACTGAGAGCAAGAATGTAGGAATCAGAGGAAGTGCCTTTAAAGAAAATCATAAATCTGTGATTTTAAAACATACGCAATTGTCTACACAAAGTGCTTGAATTTATCAGCTCTACCATGATTCCTTTTTAACATCAGAAAAGAATGTTTCACTTAAATGCGAAAACAATACAAGTGTTTTTCTAAAAAGACAAAAGGTTTCATTCCTGATTATAACGTTGAAAGCAAAAGGGTATAAACAAAGGCAGCACAAAGTCATCCTGTGTAGCATTTAGCATTGGAGCCCTTCTTACCTGCTACTTGGGCTCTGTCAGTGATATTACACTGACTTCCTGAATTGCAAATTCTTAGATTTAAATGCTAGTTTAGAGACATATAAAGTTAGCTCTAGTCTTAAAGATGATTGTCTGAAAAATAAAGGGCAAAAAAGAAATTTTACAAAAAAGTGGGTTTTTTATTGCATGTCATGTAGTTTTCTTCAACTGCATACTTCTGTCAATCCTAACCTCAACAATGTCATGGTTGTAAATACTTCCAATTTTGACCCTCTTCTTTTTAAATGAGTTCATTGAAATCTTTACATATGCAACTGATAGTATCTTTCATTTGAAGCATCGCCTTAAGAGAATCAACATTCAGTACTTATCTCTAAAGTACCCATTTGTTCACAGAAGGAAAGTGTGGGGTTTTTTTTCCCTGAAGTGCTATATTTAATGCTTTGATTGCAAAAATAAATAAATAGATAAATAAAATTAACTAATATGAGAGAACTATGACCGGAACACAAGATCTTAGTCTACTCCAAAATACAGGTATGCATACAAAGAATGGAGTTACTCACATATTGTTCTGTATGCAGTATGAATCCAGATTTTTATTAAGCTCTTGTCCTTCAGAAATTCTTTGTACTTTCTAAACACTATTTTCAGGAAAAAGTTGCTGAATTTCATCAATGTAAGCATTGCAAGCTTTCATTATTCTAATTTTAATACATTGTACAAGTTATCGTAAAAGGAAAGTAAGAGAATAAAGTATTCATTTATTGAAGATGTCTTTTCATTATCCCTATCTTAAGCAAATAAGTAACTGCAGCATAAACTACTGAAAAGCTTCAAATATAAGATGAACATTTTCAGACTCATTCATTTGCAGGGTTTAGAGATAACCACCTTGCCAAGATGTTCCTCAACATTTTCATGCTTTTAAGGTTGACAAAATGAAAACTACATTGTAATTCAAAAAAGCATTCAGAAAAAGTAGAAAAAGAATTGAAATTCAAATTTTCTTTGCACACATTCAACACTCTATCATGAATCAAAATTTTCAGCCCTTTCTGTATTATGCAGTGTGTGGACAAGAAGATTAATTGGATTTCTCATATTAAAATATGTGGATATGGACTAGTGGGAGATGCAGAGGTTGGGAGCTGTCTTGAACAGAGTGACCACAAAATGGTAGAGTTCTTGTTTCTTGGTGAAGTCAGGAAGGGAGGGTGGGGAGGTGGGGCAGCAAAACTGCCTGGACTTCTGGAAGGCAGACTTTGAACTGTTCAGGTCACTGGTACAGAGAGCCCCTTGGGATTCAATCCTAAAGGGTACTCTAAAGGGTAAGGGTTCCAGGAAGGCTGGCTGCTTCCAACACTCCCAATAAAATTTCATGCTGTCTTCAAAGCAAGTAGGAAATGGACTAAAGAACCACCTATTTATCTGTAGAGCTGGAAACACCAACTGAAGTATTTTACTGCCTCTCACTGTAGGGATATCAGTGGCCTTTTTAATCTGGGGGGCAGAAGGAAGCTTTCTCCACTAAAGACTTAGTTCTGAGTGACTCTTGGAAAACGTTCACATTGTTGTCTTGAAGTGACATGGTATTGCAGTATTGGGATCTTCGTTGCTTCTGAAGAAGTCACTTCACCTCTTTATGAGCTCGTTTTTCTTAGCAACAAAAAGTTAGCCTTTTAAACTATGCTACACTTACACTTATTCTGGCCTCCGCTTGCATGGTATTGTACTTCTTACAGTCCACTGCGAGCAACAGAATTTCTTCACATAAATTACAATAAATCCTATAACAATTATCACTATCTTTACTGATCCTACAAAATTATTTTTCCATTCACTCAGGAAATTGCAAAGCTCTATCTGTTTAGGGAATATATTGTGATTTACTAAAGGAATTACTATTGCCATCACTGCTAAAATTACAGTCACTGTAAAGAGGTAGCTCAACCAATGCAATATGCTATGGTATTTAGGCTCAGACCTAAAACGCTCACTCTGTGCTGATCTAGACATTAGATACTGTATTCTACACAGATATTATTTAGTTATAATAAAGATCTGTGATAAAATGTTCTTTATTTACTGTAAGCTTGAATACATAGACTAATTCAAACAGTAATTCCTCAAGATAGACTTAACTGTTCAGAAAATGGCAATACAGAGATGTAAAATGCTATGAAATAAAGTTTCATCAAAAGCAAGTTTAATTCAGAAGGCCTTGAGTCCCCCACCAAGCCTGAAGCAGAATTTGCAGTGAGCCCATGCTATGATTCCCTCCTGGAAACTTCCAAGTTCTGTCTGAAAAGCTGGTGCTTCACAGTCCCACTATGCACACAGGAGGTACTAAAATTTCACAATAAAACACACAAACGTCTCTTTCTGTCAAGTACTCCATTTTTAAATAGTTACTGATGGATCTCACTTAAAGATGGCTTTTTTTTTCCTTGCAAACTGGTCTCATCTAGGTTGTAAGGAGACAAAACAGCAAAAGTTCTCATGCTGTGGCACAGTTATGAATTTATTTAAAGGCAGGCTTGGGAATACAGAAAAAAAAGAAATATGTTTTATAAGATTTGTGGACAGCATTAATTTAAAGACCAGATTTTTTACAGGTAGAATTCTGTAGTCCCAACAAGGCTTTATTGACAAGTAGTTCGGCAAAGGTTTGACAGACTGACTTCAAGGCTTCAGGTTATCCCTATAAACAGAAGAATGAAACAGAAGATAGTCTTCTAATCTAATAGAAGAGCCTTGGCAACATCTCTTGACTCTCACTTTCTCTTCTCCTGTCAAGATTTTCCTTTCCTTGGCTCCTTACTCCAATAGGAGGAATGCTTTGAGAACAGGGAACACTTTATCAAATACAGCTCCAGTACATAACATCCTGTCCCTTCTCAATTGCTTTCTGGAACTGTACTCATAAGTATCAAATGTAAAATATCTCCTTGCCCTTCCAGAGAATGTCCTGAATTCATAGTCTAGGCACATTTTTGAATTAACACATTCATTCTGCTTAGAAAGGCCTTCCCGGAGGTCAGAACCATTCTAAGATGATTTCAAGATACAACATTTTCACAATATTTCATGAAGTATGTATCATAAATTGCATTCACTGTATGCATAGTTTCTGAAGTACATAATACTTTGCTCCTTCTGAGACATGGTGCATTAGTAATGCTTATGACAGAGTGCTTTGTCAAAACCACCTTCTTGCTCTCTTTAATCTGTTCAAGAAGTTCATGGCATTTTGTTGACCAAAACTGACACTAACATTCAGAAAAAAATATATATCACCTAGGAAACACAACTTTCTTTGGGTCCCGAATAAATACATCTTTCTGTTACTCTGTTTTCATTGCCTTCCTTTTGGGAGAGGATATTTTTCTTTCCATATGTAAGGAAATTATATTGGATACATTTTCAGCACAAAACTGAGATCTGCTTCCCTACCCTCAGAGAATTTCCTCTGAGTAATTACCCAACTAGTGGTCACTGAGCTGTAATTACTCCAGATAAAACCAACTGTCATCACTCCTTGCAGTGCAAACACACGCTCCAAAAAGCATTCCCATTAGTCATATCTCCAGCATAACTTGCACTTTTTTTTTTTGCCGAAAAC